CCAAATATCTTGATAAAGAAAGTCCCTTTGATACCATATTTCACCATCATTTAAATATTGCTTCCTTCCTGTGGGGTCTACCCAAGCTGTATATAAAAAAAACAACAAAACCAAACCAAAAACTTGGTTGATCATAAAAGCCTATTTGACTTCCCCATTGAAAGCCGCATTCAGTTTGTGAACTGTTTTCTGATGGATTCTTTATGAACAGGAGTTGGTAATGTTTTCATCCATGGCTCTCACATAGTTTGTGTGTTAGGCTGGTAAAAACACCACTGAAGATGTGCTTCTGCTCTGTGGGTGGATAAAGTGATCAACTTTTCTTGCAGTAAATTAACAAATATTTTGTCTCTGTATTCTGATTGTTCTTTCAAGCATTCTTTACTATTTCTCTTCTTGTATATTTTGCATTAATAGTGAATTGTCTCTTCCAGTTATTTAGAAACAACTTTTTAAACTGAATTAATTGAGAATAGTGAGTAATTTGTTTGAAAATTTCCTTAGCTTGGAGCTGAACTAGGAGCCCGGGCCATCAGCCACCTGGAAGAAGTTAGTGATGAAGGTATTGTGGCAATGGCAAGAGCTAAGTGTGCTGCTGTTCTTCTGCCAACTACAGCCTACATGCTAAGGTAAGGCCACTAGATTGAAGAGAACCTTCTGTAACTGCAAATCCATGTGTGTGGTTTGAGGGTCTTTTAATCTATAAGCATCTAAAATGCCTTATGGATCAGTCTGGGTCAGTGAAGGCAATCACATGTACTGAGAACTGAATGAGCCTCCCTCCTTATGTCTTAGTTCTGCTGGACATCCTCAAAAATCTGTGAGATTGCTGGGAAATCTCACAGTGGATTTGGAGTGGCTTTATGGCAACTATGGCTAAAACTTCCTAGAGAGTGTACTTACAAGTGTCCACCCTGCAAACACCTACACAGATTAATCCAAGAACTGAACAATTTTGAAATGGCTATTCCAGATATTGAAGTTACTGAAAACATCTTTTCATTATAATTACTAAGTGGAAAGATCTCTAATGTATGCAGACTAAACTCACAGACTCAAAAATCTGGAAGGGCCTATTGCATTGCATGTGCCACTGCTCATATTTTGGAGCCTGTCTTTGAAGCTATAAGAACTAGAATATTAGTTTTTTTCAGAAGTGAAGATTTTCATCTTGTAAATTCTTAAGTGACTGAGGTCTGGATAAATACCAGAATTTCAGTGGTCTGGAGCCTGATGGTTGACACTGGCTGGTGCCACATGCAGTTACTGCAAAAGCTGTGGCTCACACTTCCCATTTATGTTGTCCATAGGGTGACAGGTAGGGATGCATGAGGAGAATTTGAGCTTTCATCTCCATTAGGATCAATGTAACTGGATGCATGAATGTAACCAAACTGAGAGATTACTTTTGCCCTTGTAAATCATTGTATGATAACTAAGCAAATTGTACTGATAAGTTTATTTTTCCCACTAGACTGAAGCAACCTCAAGCTAGAAAAATGTTGGAAGAAGGTGTTATAGTTGCTCTTGGAAGTGACTTTAATCCTAATGCGTACTGTTTTTCAATGGTAAGATAATCCTAATATTGAAATGATAGAATTATGAAATTTCTTACTAGTACAGCTTGTGTGTAGGTCTTGCACACTTCAAACTGGTTTCATGTGCATAAGGAGAGCTGCATGCCCCATGTAGACAGCTGTCTGTGTTTGTTTCTGTGTATTGGTAGTTTTTGCCAGAAATTCTTGGAACCAGAGTGGATTTCATCCTTCATATGGACTGAGAGGCCTATTCAAAATGCTCTCAAAGCTGCTGATTTTAGAGTTCTTGTTTGGATTTGGCAAAATTTATGTTGTGCAATTAAGAAGGAAAGTGCTTAGGGATTTGAAGTATAAATAGCTTTGTGTTCCTGGTAACTCTCATTGTCCCCTTCCTTGCCTCTTAGCCTATGGTGATGCATCTGGCCTGTGTAAACATGAAGATGTCAATGAATGAAGCACTGGCAGGTGCCACCATTAATGCAGCTTATGCTCTGGGCAAATCAGACACACATGGCTCCTTGGAGGTCGGCAAGCAAGGGGATCTTCTTATCATAAATTCATCAAGGTTTGTTCTTCCATTGGCATAGGAAATGTGCTTTAACCTTAGTTACCTTTGCTGAATAAAGGGACACTGGTAGCATTTCAGATGCACTTTCATTTTCCTTAATTACTCCAGTGGAAAATAAAGCCTTAGACGTTTGGGGCTGTTATTACAAGTAATCCACGCCTAACTACAAATTACCTACAGATGTGTTTATTTTGTGGAATAAATTCTTTACTGATAGATTCACTGTATTCATGCAGCAAGAGACAACATGTAGACATGGAATAGTGTTTTCCCATTTTCAAGCAAGTCTTATAAAATTGCCAGGTATGCTGGGCATGTGACCTGCTCTTATGCAAGTTTACATATTCTTAAACATCTTGTCTTTTTAGGTGGGAGCACTTGATTTACCAGTTTGGTGGACATGAAGCATTGATCAACTATGTTATAGTTAAAGGAAAAGTCATCTATGAAAATGGGAGGTGTGAGACAACGAGCAGTTACTGAGAGAAGGCAGTAGTTTAGTGAGCTACTAAAATCAAATTAGCATGGAATATTTCAAAGCAACAGACAAATCAGATTAGTATTTACTGGTAAATTGTTTGTCTGCTCACCTTACTATTATTCAAATAAACCTTACCAAGCATTACCCATTTGGTGCATTTCCATGTCCATTGTCCTTCTCTCCAGCAGAATAAAATAATTTCTTATTCTATTCATCTTAAATAAAAGTTTCCAAAAATGTTTTCCTATAAATTTAATCTATAATATTATAATATTTGAAAACAACCCAAACAACCTGGCAATGAATAAATAGAGACTGGATCCAGGTAAGATTTACTGGGGAGTGTGATAAGTAACCTGTGACAGAGGGCCAGGGGTTCAGGCATGCACATTTGGGATGGTCCTTGGCTATGTTGGGAGAAGATCACATGAAGTGTCATACAGATGTTGCAGAAAAGACCTAATTTTATTTATTCTAGGCTGAATCTGAAATAACATTAGACTTATTTGTTTGCAGAAGTTTGAATGTAATTCTGCTAAGTTAAGTATGACAACTTTTACTCAAAGATGTGTTGAAACTTAGGAGCCTAACTTTTTAAAGGCACTCTTTCATTTATCTTTCAACTACTGTTTTTTTCCTCAGCTTGTAACATCATTTAGGAATGCAGTATGTAGAAAAAAGGATTATACAGCTCTGGAGAATTTAAGCTTTTAAGCAGAGGATCTGGAGTAGGAGAGTCTCTGAATACCCATGGACTAAGTATTTTCTTCAAATTTTCAAGTGGATGATGTCTGCAGAAGTAAGAGATTTACTTTCTGAAGGTGAAGTCATAAAATTGCACCTGACAAGTATGAAGAATTTCATATCAAAAGTAATTATTGGTATAAGCAAGTGACATAACCTGTGATACAGAGCAGAGTGCTTTAGTGAACCAGACCCTTGAGGAAGGACGACAATGGTCTCATTCTGATTAGCAGGTATTTGAAAGCCATCACAAACATGTATGAGCATTATTATGACCTTCTGCTCTCTCTGAGCCTTGGGCACATCTGCTAACACCCCCAATCCTGCAAGTCATCCTCTGTAGTATCTTTCTTCATGCTTGATTTGATCCAGGCTAGCCAACCAAATCAGTTTTTTAAAACAATGTAATAGCATTCCTGCCACCTGACGTGTTTTCCTGCAAGCAGATGTTTTACCAGATGTGGGTGTGGAACTTAGTTTTTATAAAGCTTGAAAGAACGTCCCAGGTATGTGATTGCACAGTCCATTCTTCCCAAGACAGCCTTCATAAATAATGTTTATACAGGGATTTGGGAAGGCTGTCAGGGAAGGATCACAGACACTTCTTAAATGCAGGGTGCAGGCAGGGTGGTGTCTCTCAGCTCTGCACAGGCATGGTGCAAAACCTGAGTCCCCCGTGCTGCAGTATGTGCTGGGGATCCCTCGGTCCCAGGCAGCCAAAAGCAGGAGTGGTAAGCAAGGCCCAGAATCTCTTCGCTGAATGTCCAAGGCATTTGGCAACCTGCTAGGTTGCCAGCAGGCATGAGCACTCTCCTCAGGGCACAATTTACTATGGCAGGTGTCAGACAAAGGCAGCCCCAGACTGGTGCTTTGGCTGTCCCTTGCAGCATAGCCAATAGCCTGGGGGGGCTTTCAGCTTGTGCTGAATGGCCCTCTGCCAGATCAGTACTGCCCTGTCATCACTGCACCATGAGGTGAAATCCATGCCCTGACTCTTCCCTTGCAAAATAAAGCTTGTGCTGGAGGTCAGTGTTGTCAGACACAGAGCACACTCAGTCATGATCCCATCTATGGGGACAGGGCCCCTGGCAGACAGGCAGAGACCTGGAGAGCTGTGGGAGCGTAGGTCATGGTGCTATCACCTCAGCATTGGTTCACATTCACTAGTCCTATGCCTCCTTTTTTCCCTTTTCTGGGCTCTGTGTCACCTGTTCTGCTTACTTCCAAATGAAGCTTTTGCTTTACATTTTCGTCATCACAAACATGACAGGAAAATAGATTGCTACAACCATATGTGAAGCCTCAGATTATTGATTGCAGGTGTGAGCCCATAGATCTTGGAAAGCTGCATTAAATGTACTCCATCACCAGAATATAATATATTTGTTCTGGAGCAATGATCTCCATAGCACATTCCTATGCACACAGCTTTCCTGATTTGTGAAGCACCTGCTCTAAAATTGCTCCTGTTATACAAGAGCCTATACCTCACATATGATCTGCAAAAGAGAGAAGAACAGTGTACAGATAATCTTGCTTGTGGCAAAATTAAGAGGACCACAGCAGTTACCCAAAGGGGGAGAAAAAAAGGTAAGAATATCAAACTTAGGTTGTTTGGTATCATTGGCAAAGATGGAGAGAAACAAACAAAATGTTGACAAAACAAATACTGGTTTCATCAGGAGTCTGAATGATTTGTATTCAGAAGTTCATGAAATTCAGTCAAAACCATACTATCATAACAAAATTGTCTTTTACACATGAGGAAAGCAGTGAGACTTCTCTTTACTATCTATTCGTGCTTCTGAGCTAGACAGTCAGGTCCTCTAGGTCGCCTGGAGAAACCACATTGAGTTTGAGTAGAAGGGCCATGCTCAGGTAAGGTTCTGGAAAGGATCTGCTCTCTTCCAGGGGATCACAACTCTTAAAGTTCATTCTGATGCTTGTGGTCATGACTATCATCTGCACTCATTCTCAGCAATCCCAGGGAGAAGGCTGTAGGTGAAATGGGTCTTGATTCAGGGATGTGTTCTCTCCTGTACTTTTCAATGTAAGGTTTAGCCACTTCCCACACCTGCGGAACAAGGATGTGAAACAGCAGAGTCAGAGGCAAAGAAAAGGTCAGCTAAGACATCAATGCATGACTTCAGGAAACCCTGAGGAAAAGCTATTGGATGGGATATACTGTATGGGAGGAACAGAACCAGAGGCAGATAGAGCAGGGGAGAGCATGTGGAAGGAGTTGACAATGGATGGGAAAGGATGCAGCTCCAATGGGGCAAGGTGAAAGGATTCAAGGCAAAAATACTTCGATACTTTGTCTTGTCTTGTTACCAGGCTAATGCTCTGTGTGCAATAGTTGGGAGAGAGTCGCTGCCACTTGCTACAAAACTACTTGACCGTGAAGAGGATTGGGCAGCAAAACCAGCAGCTGGCATGGACAAAGAGAAAGGGTTCTAGACAATCCTATCTATGCACAAGCCAGAAGCCAGCACTCACCTTCTGCTCCACAAGCAGCCTGTGAGCTGCTTCAATGTCTGGGGCCATGAAGCGATCCTTTATCCAGGGCCTGTAACAAGACATTGGGCAAACATTAACCCTCACTGGCAGCAGCTGCTCTCCAGGCAGGCAACCTCTGGGGAAAGTGTTTATCTGATCTTACCTCACCACGGAGCGCACAAGGTCGTAGACCTTCTCCAATGGGGTTGTTGTTCTCAGAGGGCGGAGGAATTCAATGCCCTGGCAGGCAGCGAGCAGCTCAATAGCCAGAACTAGGAAAGCAGAGCAGCCAAAGGGATGTTTGGCAGGTACAGCTCAAGGCGAGGTTTCCTGTCTAAAGCTATCCCTGACCTTTGTTTTCACTAATATGATATGGTTCAGGCAATGTGCAAAACCAGTGGATCCATACCCTCCAGAGACCCAGCCCAGTGGCAGGATCATTTCATCGGTGATGCTGGGGGCAGTATCCAGCATTTCAGCAAGCAGATTTTGGGTGCTGTTGTACAGACCTTTCAAGTGTACCAGGAACTCCTGGTCACCAGAGTCTTAAATCCCTACGAATCTCTTCCAGTGTAACTTGAATACTCAAATTAATGTCCATCATAAAGAAAAGAGGAGCCTGAGCTAAAAATGAAAGTTCTTCCTCTGAAGCTTGCCAGAGCCCACATGAAAACACCAGGAAAATAACAGTGCTTTGGAAGAGAGTCTTCTGTCTGGAGAAGTTTGCATTCTATCTGCCTACCTTACACCTGATCATTATTTGTATTAGCCCCTCCTTTTCATGATTCAAGGTCTGTCTGGAAATCAGAATCTTAATTTTACCTTGTTCCACATGTTCAATAACTCTCAAAGCTTTTCTTGCAGCCCATCCTCCCATAGACACGTGATCCTCTGTAGCAGCACTGGTTGAGAGAGAATCCACAGAAGAGGGGTGGCACAAGGCTTTGTTCTCAGACACTGCAATAACCCAACACAATGAATGAAGGACAGAATAGGCATGAGACAGCACAAGCAATGGTCTACATGTAGATAAGAGCCTGTCCATCACCTTCGGACCAACTACTGCTCCTTTTTCAAGGATACATCAGCATTTTACCTGGACTGAGTAATTTGTAATGACCACCTTGAAAACTACCATTGCCTCTGAAAACACTAACCAACAGCAGTCTTTAGATGCAAATGTTAACCAAATACAGAATGACAGCTCACTCTTCACTCCCTTATCGCCAGTTTGAGTTGCTATGGCTCAAAGGACTGGAGGAAACTGAAGAAGAGCAGACAGCATAACTGAAACACAAACCTGGTTCTGCCTGTTGCTCTGGGGCAATTCTCTGTAAAGAGCATTGGCTCCCTCTGGTTTTAGTCACAAAGATCACTCCTCCCCTGCTTTCAAGAATACAGCTAGAGATCAGCATCTGGTCTGCTTATTGCAGCTGAGGCACTTTCAGAACTTCCTCTAGAAAGATGGAAGAATGCAATACAAACCCTCTCCCTCCCTCACCTCACTACAAGGCTGCCCACATCCCTAAGGGTGACATACTCCAGCTTTGAAAGGCCGATGCAAGGTCTGGAGTAAATTCTCATTCTACATCCAAAAGCAACAGGCAAATGGTTGCAGGAGAGGCCTTAGGAACCATTCAATGACAATCTGAGGTTGAGAACTGCTCTTTAAAAGAGAAAAAATGAAGTCTGCATTCACAGCACTCTGGCTGTATTTGGCCTTTTCTTTCTGAAACCCAGCAGGATGCTGTGTAATGCTCTCGCCAAATTAGCGGCTTCAGAAAAGCAACAGGAGCAACAGAGAGGTGGTGACACCAATTGCAAATAGGCTGGAGTGACAGTCTAGGACCAGAGCCCAGCTGGCACATTCAGGCAGATGATGGCAGGTCCCAGAGAGGCTGCATGTGATCCCTGCAAGCAGCTCGGTCTGGCAGGCACAGAGCTGCTGGAGTGGGGACAGGCAGACACCTCCAGTGGTGTTGCAAAATACCCGAAAATTTTTTTTCAGTTTTATCTATTAACCCTGGGAGTGAAAAACATTAGATGGTACAAACTACCCAGAAACTGGTAGAATGATTTGAAAAATATTGGTGATTAACAAAGAAGTTAAGAAAAAGAAAAGGAACTCAAACTTTAGATAAAAATTCAGATAAAATCCTGGCTGTTTTGATCAGGTTGAGATGATTTTGACCCATGGACTTCTAGTGTCAGTAGAGGCATGGCTGTAATTTTAATTTCCCACAGCAGAAATCACAAACACCCCAGAATTTGTTACTCCAGATTGCAGAAGTGTGCAGTGAAACCTGAAGCCATGCAACCAGCTGGAGCCTGGAGCCATCCTAAACTCTCCCCAGCCAAAGGTAAAACTGCCAGCCTTTAAACAAGGGGATGAGCATTCAGCTCTCTTCCAGACCCACTTCCCAGCCTCTAGACAGGGTTCCTTTAGCCCACTGATTTATTTGTTTCTCTGCAGAATGCTTATCTACACATTTAACTGATATCCTCTGTTCCTGTGTTTTTGTAACTTAAAATCTACGCTCTTCTCATAGCATGTTTATCTTCATATTGGCTCATGCTTCCCTGAACCTATGAACCGTAGTATGCCAGAAGTCAGCAGGCTTGTTGCCTTAGCCATGAGTACTAGAGGAAAACCTGAAGTGATATTTAATTTCAGTGTGCTCCCCCAATAACCAGCCCTGCGAACTCTGGTCTTGTGAGGACTGTGGGGTCTGATTCTGATGTGCAGACCAGGCCATCAAATAGAGACAACCCAGTACTGAGGGTATCAGGCCACCTTTGAGACAAGTCTTCATACCAAAATCCACTCAGAGTTTGCATGCTCAGAGCACTGAACATGCCCAAGGGTTGGTGCAGAATAAGGAAGCCTGAACTGAAATAATTGCAGCTACACCCAACACTCATACTTGACAAGACAGCACAGAACACATGGAGAAGAGACAGAAAACAGCAGCCTTTATGCCTACTATCAGACTGCATCTATCTTGAAAAAAAAACAGTTTTTCTAGCTTGCTCTCTCTATGGTATTGCTCAAGCACTCACCCAGGGCAGCTGCTGTGCAGTGTGCAATCATGAATCCTGAGTTCAGACCTCCTTCAGTGACTAAAAATGCAGGCAGTTCACTGAGCGAGGGGTTGCAGAGCCTCTCAATTCTTCTTTCACTAATTGCAGCAAGTTCATGCACACCAATTGCTAAATAGTCCAGAGCCTACAGAAGAAGATCTCATTAAACCAGATGAAAAAAAAAACAAACCACAAAAAGGTTTTTTTCCCCTTTTGTCAAATGCTGAATTACCTTTGCAGGATATTCACCATGAAAATTTCCTCCAGAAATGGTTTCTTCTCTTTCAGCAAACACCATCTTTAAGGAGAAGTTAAAGCCCACATGAGTGAAATACAGTTTACATGAGTGATATCTGCCAGTAATCAAAATATCTTAACTGAAGGAGTGTTTGTGCCAATAGGCTTTTATTTGCAAGCACATTCTATTGCACCCACACTTCTACTTTTCAGGAAATGAAGACACAATCTCAGTTCTTCAAATTTGTAGGTACAATTTTGACATGTATTTTTTTAAAATAAGCTACATAAAGGGAGGTCTTTGATTGAGGGTGAAAAAACCCCAGCCGTTCAGATCCTAGCATAGATTTTCAATTCCTTGATAGATTCTTTCCATGACAGTTACTATTTTAGTCCAAATTACAAAGACTAATTCCAATTAGAAGAATTGGATTATATTCTAATTAATGGTAAAAAGATGTTCAGAAGATTAGATGCAATAATGCTTATGAGCAATTGATATGATGCTATGTACAGCATCATTATGGTGCTGACAGAAATACAGCCCTGCATGACAGAGCACACAGAAATTCTTCAATGCGGTCATAGGGAAAGGAAGAGAGGCTGCTGTTGTAAACAATGGCAGTTATTGACCAAAGCCAGTTATGACTTTTTTTGCCTCCAGTGTAACTATACAAAAGAAAAGAATAAAAAAGGCCAAGCAGAATTTTATATAGTAATAAAATAATCAAAAAGATACAGGGTTGTCCGTGGCGCTATTGAGTTCCGTTGTTATTATGTCCTTCACAAAAGTAATTGTATCATTTACAATCCCATGGACCTAGAACAAACAACATTGGTGTCTGAGCGTAGTATTTGCACTTAGTTCACCTTCAGGATGCTGACTGCACTGTAAGGACCCTCTTTTCCACTATCCCACCTGACTTTCACACATGGAAGACTGTCTTGGATTTGCTTTTAACAGCAGGAGCATCACTGCCAATTCTAGACACTTCAAATATGGTATTTACTATTATGGCAGTTTTGCCAAAAGAGTAATCTGTATATGACAATCTTTACATATTTGGGTTGGTTTACCTAAATGGAAGTTATTTATCCAGTGGCAGAAATGTTATGAGGGAAGAAGTAGCCTTACAAAGACTCACAGAAAACAAAACCTCTTATTAGTTAATCTTTCATTAATTCTACTGATTTAATAGCTTTGCTCCTGTTAAAATGCATAGGATTGAGCTCTTCCAATATGCCTGAGATATTACATTCTGTTGGCTTTTGGAAACACCCAATTCATGTTATTAACACTAATGCAGAAGAAAATCCCTACAAATCTGCAAGCATGGAAACCAGCACTTTCCCTCTGCTTCTGACCTCTGGCCTTTTCCAGATCTGGACACAGCTTCGTTAGATGCTGCCTGATGTGTACATGCACGTGATCAACAAATTGCATGTCTCCATTAACACTACTGTGAAGTGAAGAAGAAGCAAAATAAAGCCACTTCCTCTAACAGTGTCAGACAGCACATAACTGGCTGTATTTCTGAGGTGGAAATTTCCCCATCTTTTATCTATTGTTACGGAAGGATCTAAAAGTCAGTCTTTACCTGAGGGCAGCAGCGCATTGTGTATGCGTCCTGAACTCGGTCACAGAATCTATGGCTCTCTAGAAGACACAAGGAGGGCAAAAACCAAATATTGCTTACACAAAAGCACTGTGTCCTGTTGAAGAACCCAGCCTGTCCTGGTAACCTGAGACAGTGAAGGCTAAGATTGTTCACCTGCTATTTCTGATGGATGATGGTCAGAATCAAGAAGGGACCTGAACCGAAAGGCCACTTCAGCCTGCCCTCGATGTGGGCGCACTGCATGGATATCTAGTAAGACAAGTTAGACTGTCAGGCTGTGCCTCTCTTGTCAGGAGCTGTTAAGCAAACAGACAGGGAGGGCCAGTACCCACCAGTGTCAAAGGCCCTCGTTGTACCCTTCAGGACTTCCAGTGTAAGGGCAGCGATGATGTCAGCTTGCCTTGCTATAGCTTCGGCTCTTTCAACTGCCTCACACCCCAGCGAGGTGATCATTTGTGTCCCATTGATGAGGGCCAGACCCTTCAAAGGGAGAGCAGATGTTAAGCAAATTCATTGCAGCTATTCCACACTCTGTGACAATTCCCCATATCTGTGACAATTCTCCTTCTCATATGAGGGAGTTAAAGATCTTTGCCTAGGTTTTTGGACCATCCTGAAATCACAAAATGCACAGCTTGACTGAGCACCTTTGCTACATAAAGTGTTAATACTCATGACCCCATGAAGTCACTGCAGACACCCTTGGAGCACCAGTAGTTCCAATTAAGTCAAATACCTGCTTCAAGTCAGTCATCTGACCTCCTGTTAAGGTCAAAGAGCAGATAGGTACCTTGAAGGTGCCTCTTAGACATCTGTTTCAGGATGGTATAAAGTGCTTTCTGAAGAGGCCTGTCTGTCCCCACTGACCACAGAGCCAATCTGAACATCAAGCTTGGGTCTGTCACTTCAAGTCAAGTAGGGTGACACTAGGAATGGTGAATCCCACTCCTGACAACACTACCATTATCTTTCTAAAGTTTGACTTAAAATTATTATTAACTAATGTAATGCTTTTATTGTACATATAAAGCAAATAGTGATTTATTATGCTCTTTTTCATCAGCTGGCATCATTATACTTTATTACCTCTTTTGGTTTCAAGGTAATTGGTTTTAGTCCATGGGCTTCCAGGACCTGTGAAGGAGTTAAATGCCAAGGCAGTTAATGAAAAATACTTTTTGGTCACTAAAGTCACAAAATTAAGTCACTAAAACTTGAATGTTTCCATGAACAGAAATATTAACAAATTTCTTAAGTGATGGAAGAAAAAGAGATTTATATCACAAACATATCACATATTTTTTTCTGCTGGGCTAAATAAAGGGCTTCCAAACTAGCACCTCACTTCTAGTGCCAATACAAAAAGGTAGCAGGAGTACTGAAGCAAGATATATGTCACTGTCACAGCCCTTAACATCTACCATGTTCTAGATGATGGGAGAGGGCAACAGGAAAGAAGGCTGGAAGCCTCTTGGAAAGGCAGTTCTACCTACACCGTGCCTCATAGAATTTTGAGTTGGCATAAATTATTTCTTTTTAAATGATCCCTAATCCTTTCTATAGAAAATCTCTAATGACAGGATGAGTCCCATCCATTTTATTCTGTACATGTCTATTCTATAGGGCAATTGCTCTTGCAGGAAGTGAAGAAACAGCATAACCTATTTCTCATTTAATCCTCTCACCCTGTCCAATGGAAGAGGCAATGCATCTCAGAAGTGTACAGCTGTAACTTCTGGTCTTGAAGGCCCAGGACACCCTGGTCTGCTTCCTTCTTACTCCTCTCCCTGTGTAGTCCTCAATCTTTCTCCAGACTATAGTGATGTACATGCATCAATCCATCAATGAGTCTGGTGTTCAAGTACTCATGGATAGGAGCTATAGGTGTAGAAGAACAAACTACCATGAAAGATTTTGGAGGGGCCGGACTTGGAGATACTTAACACAATCTGGTTATGTGTTGGTGGCAGAATAACAATAGATTAAAAACTAATTTCATTGTAACATTTCCATCTTGTGAAGAAGAATGATATAAAGGCTCCTTGTAACCCTAGTTAATTCATCAAAAATGAAATATCCAAACCTGTGTATTTACTTAAAGCCACTATAAAATCAGTAGAAATTTTTCTGCAAAGATCTTGCCTCCAGTAAATCTCCAGGTACACTCAGCATCTGAGAGGTGATCTTGGACTTTTTAGCAAAATATTTATGCTCATGGAGCTGAAGATACAATAATAGTTCTTTCATAGTTGGTATCATATCCTCTCCATTTCTCCTGTTCATAAATTATGTCACTGTAGTATCTGGTATAGCAGTACTATGGCATGATATTTCTTTAGGGCTCAACAACATGCTGCTTATTTATGTCTGCCCCAGTGACATGTGGGTCAGTTCTTGCATTCTCCAGAGATCCACCTTCCTCAAATTAGAGGATGATTAGCTAAAGGCAACCTAGTCCAAATTCAAACTGGTAGAGAAAATCCAAAGACTTGTACATGTTACTACTCTGAGTAAAAACTCTCTTTCTCTCACAGCTACATGCAATTTGAAAAACGAGTCAGCAAGCTAAAAGAAATAAACTATCAGCTGCACAGATCTTACATATTTAGCATCAGCCCAGCCACTCTTCGGCGACCACATCTTTCCCTCTCCAATTAATCCCAGAGCAAGATGAGAGAGAGGGGCCAAGTCTCCACTGGCTCCAACTGTCCCTTTCTCTGGGATATAAGGAAGGCAGGATGCTAGAAAGAAAACAAAAATCACTCCTTTTAGTGCCTTCCCTTGATAAATTCCTTGGAAAACAGAAAAGGTAGCTCATAAGTTTGGCCACAGTAGCAGCCTGCAATCATGGACAACTGCACCAACAGGACTACTCTTGTTGCAGCCCTAGTCCTGGTCTCTCACAACTGTTGAAAGACCAACATCTGCATTTTGACCCATCGAACTACACCCTTTAACAAAACAGTTAAAAGGGAAAAAAAGGGAAATGAAGATTTTCTTTAAGCATATTTTTACCATTAAACACTTCAATAACTTGCTCGAGGGTTTCTAGGGATATTCCACTGTATCCTTTGGCTAGGACATTGATTCTCAGTGCCAAAAGCATGCGAGTTCTCTCTGGGGTCAAAGGTTTCCCCACACCTGAAACAGTAACAGAACCCTCTCGGTTACTCACCCACTACCAACAAGTGCAGAAAAGGGAAACACCAAGCAATCTCTTATTACCTGCAGAATGTGAACGAACCAAGTTCACTTGAAGTTCCCTACAGAGAAAAAGAAAATATATTAAACCTCAAAAAAAGTCTCATCAGGTTTTATTTTGCACAAAACAGAAGGAATTTCTGAAGCAGTTCTCTCATTTAACCCCAACTACAGGGTCAAACTGCTCCCTCTTCTTCCTTTCCTGAAAAGAAAGGACGGAGAAGGCTGCACACACAACATACCTCAAATTACTGTTTGGGATGACAGTCCTGGCAAACTTTCCAAAACCCGTGGTGATTCCATAAACAACTGCAAGAAATGTACACTGCTGGTTAAGGAGGGAACCTGATGAAGTCTTCTAAACAATTCATATTTAAAAGCAAAAATATTTACCTGTCTGCTCCTTTACAATCCTTTCAATCACTTCTCGTGATTTTTTGACTTTAATTTCAGCTTCAGGTGTAAGCTAAAACATAAGTACTTAAAATATTAGCTTATTTGTCATTATTTAGCTGTAGAAAAATAAACATCTAATTTTTATCTTCATTTGTTCAGAATTTTTACCTTTATCTTGTAGAGTCCCTTTCCTAAATTGACCAAGTCCTCCGTTGTTAAGCTGTTGCCATCTAAAGAAATATACTACACCAAAGAACCATCTTTTAGTTTGAGATATGGATACATATGAAGTTGCTTAATAATCACTATAAATAAAAAATATAGTCACAACTAGCAATGACAGGAAGTTTTTTCATGCTTATTCATAAGACAGGAACCCGGGTAACAAAAACATAATAAGCACATTGTAGTTCAGTTTCCTAGACCCAGCCAATCTAATAGCCCTTGCTTTTGTGAATGCTGCACTGGCTGAACTCTCAGCATTTTCTGGTGAGTAGCAGGATTTGTTATTGAGTTGCAAAATCACAGGATTCTTACCTGTTCTGGTTCGCGGTATTTACTGTATCTGAAAGTTTTGTAAAGAAAAAAGGGCAGACAGGATTTCACAGGCAGTGACTACTCAATTACAGCTGGCAATGTGTTTTAAGAATGAAGGAACTCTAAAAAACGCAGGCAATCTAGAAAATTATAAATCTGCAATTGTGAAACTTCACAAAGCACTCAAAAAGGATACAAATGAACTCCTTCTGGCTGAGATGGTATGAAATCTGGAGACATTATATCTCCTTCTATAACTAGAAGAAATATGCAGAATAAACATGTACAGGATTAAATAGAATTATTCGCAAAAGTTAATTTGTTGTTTATTACAATTCAGAGCAATAAGAATTCTAATTTCCAGTTATCAGCCCTGAACATACTTGAATGATTCTGGGAAAATAACAAGAAACTATGTATTTATTTAAGATATTCCAAAACTAAGACAGAACAGCTTACACTATATATGACAGCAGATACAGAAGATGTATATAGAATATTGTACCTTCTAGCTTTTATGTAGTTCTGTTCCTAAAAATTAAATATTCTTAAATTATTGGGCATTTTGCCATAAAAACTGTAGACAATCTCTCAGGTGCAATTTTAGATTAATCTAGATAAAGCCACAGTTTTCTGGCTCAGATGGCAATACAGTCACTGTACAATGCAATACTTAAGGCTTTGCTTACCAACTTCAACAAATTCATTGTCTTCTAGAGCATCCCCCACGGTATCATCAAGATCCAGCAAGCCAAGTCCCTTGCACCGTCGAATGTAAAACTTTACTTCTTCTGCTGAGGCAAATCCCCCATTGTCAGGTTTGTTTTTCATGTACCGTCTCACAGATTCCTTTCCCAGCCACTCAATGGTGTTTGTGGAGTTTAGGCATGGCACTGCCAGCCATTCTCCTCGGATGTGCACCGTGTACCTTGGCATGATTTCTCTCCAAAAATTGTGCCTTGACCAAGAAGGGCTGCAGCGTGCAGCAGCCTCACATTTACCATGTGATGATGGCCTGAAGAGCTGTGCTTAATCTAGAGCCCAGTGTTGCAATCGGATAGAGGCAAAAACCCACCCTCAAAATCCTCACCTTTGTAAATAAACGAGATCAACGTGTTTGGCTACTTCATCCAATCAAACTGAACCCAGGGAACACACCCTTTTCCCAGAAATGGCACACATTCCCAGCTATTGCCACAGGAATTTTATTCCAAAGATCACATCAGGAATATAGAAATGAAAAACCAGAAGCTGAAGCTTTTGTACCAGGAATGGATAAATCAGACTAAGATGCAGTGTAACTGTTCTAAAAATGTAAGGGTTTAACAAGAGTTAACAGCTATCACCCAGCAGTAAATCACACTAACAAAAACTGAGGGACAGAGCTGCAAGAGAGGTACCTTGGGAATATGGGTTGCTCATGGCTGCTAGGACTGAAAGAAGATTGTATTATACTTTTACAGCTCTATCCAGAACAGGATAAAAGCAGGTAGTAAAGGCATCGAGTCTGCTTTAATCAATCCCATGTTCAAGTTGAAAACATTTTTTTAATTGTAGGTAAGAAAAAGATTAATTAATTTCTACAACCTTTTCCTTTATGCTATGGAAGGTGTTACAAGCAGAGGTATCCACAAATACTAGGCCACAGCTGCACACTATCAAGCCTGGTGCTGTGTCATGCTTCCTTTGCAGGCAGAAGATGCAAAGAGGAAAAGATATGGAGATAGCTGTTGAGATGGCAACAAAAAAAAGTTTAACAATAATCATGTACACACAGAATATGAAAATACCTCTAGTTTTAAAGGCAAAATGGTAACAACACTCATAGTCCATGCTTGCCACACTAGTGTTCCTAAACAAAGGGACTACCTAGGGTTTAATACTTATCTCCACTTGTTATATGAGCACGAGGGGTAGTGCCCAGAACTAGTTGAAAAAGCAAAATATTAAAATAATCAAATTGGATAAGGAAAGACTTGGGCTTTAGACCCCCTACAATAATAAGTTTTGAAAATAAATAGTGGGTTGAAAACACATTTGGTCTTCATTGTTCTCTTGGATTCATAATAAAAATTTCTCTCACAACAAAGATGAATATTAAATCAAAACTTTTTGTACATATCAATATAGAGACAAGATAGCCAGGTAGGGAATGAAAAGATTTATTTTTTATTCTTTAGGTACTTGAAGTTTCAACCACTGTGCTATGGAAAAGAATGCTATGCACAAAGAGCCATACCATCCACCAATTAATTTTCCAAGTTCTTCAATTCTATCACTGACAAATGATTACATCTCAGAACAGTTTTTGTGTATTCTAAAAATTGCTTGTAATGAAAACATTCTCTCAATTCCAGAGATGTAGCATTTTTGCTGCTTTAGCTGGAAATGTGAAATAGAAAGTGCAGGAGAATGGATTGCAAGCAACCTTGCCCCTGATGAATTACAGCTGTGCTAATTATCAAAGAGGAGGAACTGCCTTGCCCTTAGTGGGACACAGCTGTATCCAATGAGGATGGGTGTTATAAAAGAGTAGGTTAGCTGGTCAAGGGGGAGACAGAAGAGGAGAAAGAAAGGGTAGAGTTTTTTTTTTGCTGGCCCTGCTGTGAGGGGCTGTTTTTGGAGTCTGCTGGCATCAGAGTCTACAAGGGAAGCCTGCAGTCAGAGTCTGAGAGTAGCTGGAGTCTGCTGGCAGTGCTATCTACTGCAACAGTACTGAACTTGATTTGGAAAATTAATTTTTTAGTTACTTAAGTACCAAAGCAGCAGAGAGCATTTTATGGCATAATCATAAGCATGTATATCAACAGTTTGGGCAATCAGTCTCTTCTTTCAGCAACACAAAAATCTCAAAGAAATAAGTACATTTGTCACTGGTCCTGCTTCAAGTCTTTGCCCACAAGCATCGAAGTGACGGGGTGCATAGAGGCTCTATGCTCCAGAAATGTCTTGACAGCCCGATCTCGACTCTTGTCAAAATTGTAAAGGTCCCTGTAAAAGAAAGAGTAGGAGGCACCACTACAAAAATCCAGGAAAATAATACAACAGAAATTTTTCTAAGAATTCACTTTTCCCTCAAAAGCCTTGCCTTAATGTGCATCCTTGGGACTAAGGTTTCTTCTATGCAAAAAAATGTCAGCAAGTGGAAAGAGCCTCTGAAAATAAGCTTGTTCACAGTACACAGAGAATTCAGTATTAGGCCACTTGAACATGTACAATAAATGCATTTCAAGTATTATACATTCCATTATACTAGAAATGCCAACAGCATGAGCTCCTGAAATTTGGAGATTACTTTACCTGAACAATGGTCGAGTAAACTTCATCCTGCCCTGATCTGTTGCCATTTTTAAAGCCAGAGGAATAGCTTCTTCCCACTTGGACCTGATACAGAGGCGCAGCCATCTGGGGGTGGAAGAAAAAATTTGCACTTATAATTTCATTTGTGTTAGTGTGGTGGTCAGTTATCTAACGATTCTGTTCCCATAAATGCTTTGAGCACTGCTGTGTATCATGGGAATGAGATTCTAGCTGAACATAAAATATTTAGTGTTTGACTAGCACATTACATACATCAACTCTTTTGTACAACAGGAAAAGATTGCATTCAAGTTCCTCCAAAATGGCAGATTATTTTCTGCAGCTATGTATTTTTTTATATTACAATAGTGTCCAGTTGCATCACTCAGAACTGAATTATACAGCACTTGTCCCATTTGACCAATGGATTAAACAACCAACCAACCAAATGAAATGTCACCATGGGTGCATGTGCTTATTTTGTTTTAAAAAGAAATTGATCTTGTTACAAGAAGTAGAAACCATACAATATGTTTAAAATACTTTGTTATCAGGTCATCAGGTTCTTTTTCTAGCATGCCAGATTAAAATAAAGAACAGCTTATCTACTGTCCACTAACTGTATTTGCCCAGTTCATGAATAACAGGATACCACTCTAGTAAGCAATGATGCCTGCACATGCATTTACAAAGCCACAACAAAAACCCCAAACCCAAACCCTGCCCCAGTTCTGTAAAACAGGATGTCTCAGGTGAAGTAGGACAACTTGTTTTATGAAAACATTTAATATTTCAAAAGTGCTCATACTAGAACAAACCTGAATCTTATTTCAGAGTTGTTTATAGCATTGAAGTTGTACACTTCTTGCATGCGTTGGACATGTGACAATGGAAGAGGTGCCTGAAAAAGAAATTGCATGGTCAGAATAAGCCAGAGGAAGACTTAAAGCCAGATATTTCAATAATAAACAGACCAATTCAAGAAGATTGATGCTACAAAGAAACTGAAGTCCTACCATGACAAATATTTTATTTATTCCTTTTATCTTTTCAGTGTATGGAAAGGGGCAAGGAATAAATACTACCTAATTCCCACATTCTGTACTATTGAAACATTCAGGACAAAGTATTCTTATTCAATTTTATTGATAGCTCATTTGTTATAACATCTGGTACAGACTAATTCAAACACTTCATGGTTTTGTTTTTAGCTTCCAAACCAAACTACTTTGTTGTTTATTATCTGAAGAGCAGATAATAATAATAAGGGAGGCAAGGCTGAAGTTTTCAATAACTATGCGTGGTGAGAGAAGATTAATTTAGCAAAACATAAAAGAAAAAGAGTAACTTTATTTCAATGCACAGTAGAGCTTCTATGCCTGCTTTTATGATATCAGAATCAAGTAATCCCAGGTGTGCTTTTACCTCCAGAAGCAACAGTGCCAGGAACTCAATTAACTGATGAGATGACATTTCCTTCAGGTCTGCTGAGCTGAATGAGCTCAAATCACTTTCTTTTGCCTAAAAGAGAGCAGTTACTTATTTTTAATAGGTATTTCAAAATACAATCAGGTGTAATTTTTTGTTTTGATATAAACACTGTTGAGCCATTTCACTTAAAGAAGATACTGATTTGTATCTGTGCAGGATGTTACAATAAGGGGAAGGGAGGGACTTAAGCTGCTGATGTTTGTACTCTTCACTTATCTTCTCTTCACTGATCTTTTTATCACCACTGTCTTTCTGCTAGTTAAGCAAAAAATCAAATACTTTTTAATAAAAATTAACATTCAGAAAAAGGAAGATAAATGATAGGATGCAAGTATCGTGAAAAGCTACAGAGGTAACAAAAGGAGGGTATGCTGAATTCTCTATTAGTTTATGACTTCTATGCTTCAACCTAGGAGAAAATTATGTGGTATTAATTAATATATTTTATGTACCTGTTTTTGATGGGAAATACATACCAACTCCAGTATATCATAGAGGAACTACTGCTAATACAATAATCAATAATGCAGAGGTACCCTGGCATTTGTTTTTAAATCAAGCCATAATATCAGGGTTTCAAAAATAGTATTTTCTGTTTGGTTACTACATACGTATAACAAGAAGTTGGCTCTGTACCTTGTTAAAATATGGACTGCACTTCACAGACAGACCTCACAGCTAATCCCTTGACTTTACAATGAAAGTCTATCCCTTGACTCTACAATGAAGGTCTATCCCTTGACTCTACAATGAAGGTCTATCCCTTGACTCTACAATGAAGGTCTATTCTAGCAAATGCAAAATCTATGGCATAAATGTGACTATAAATACACCCACTCGCAACAAATGAGAGATTTCAGAAGAGAATAGCTCTCTTTTCATAACAAAAAATATTAGCTTTTCAAGGTAGGGACACTTCAGCATTCTTTAACCACTCACTTGGATCCATCTTTGGCTCAAGGCAATGCAAGCATTTGATAGTGTCATATCATACCTGTCAAATATTAAAAACAAAGGATCACATAATGAAATAACCACAGAATAAAATACTGAAAACATTAAGAGTGACTATTTTTACTCCTATATACACCTACATAGTACTAAGGCATTTTCCAATTAAACATTTATAAGACTTTCACCCTGTTTACAAACTGCAGTATGACTGTTAGGAAAATCACATGCAATCTGGAGAAGGAAAAGTTGAACTACAGAAGAGTGCAGCTTACGTAGGCTTCACTGGTGGCATTCCTGGAGCATGAAACCATGAGTTCCAGTCAACTTTATCAAGAATATCTACCTACAAAGAAACATAAAACCTTATTAAATTTTAAATCTGATTTTAGGATTTTTTTTTTGAGAAAATAAAATCTAGTTTCAATATTTTTATTTGTTTTGATAACATTCTTCCAATTACCCCGAAGAGATTACTTCAAAGCAAAGCAATCCCCTCTATGAAAAGAAAAAAAAAATTAAAAGATATCATGATGCAAAGTCATCTTCATAAAATCCCAGATTACATCGCATTAAGTTCTTGAAATAAAGAAATATAAAGAACCAGTCTTTAAATAAGTTCTGACCTAAGTCAGAATTTCACATAATCAAAGGATTTCATGCAATCAGTTTTAAATATTACCCAACCTTATCCTTGAAGTAGGAGTACAAGAACTTCTTCCAGTCCTCTGTTACAATGCTTTTATAAGCAAACTTCTGAACATAAGCTTTCAAGAAGCCAATGAAGACATCTAACAAAAAAGAAAATGTTTTAGTGTTTCAAATTAAGGTGGAAAACAAAAACATATAAAATCTGACTAATGCTTACCTGGTCCTCCAAGGAGCTGTTCAAGGTAAAAAAGCAAAGCAAAACCTTTCTCATATGGCACGGATGAATAGGCAACATCAGGATCTACTTCATCCAGATTAATGACAAGGTTAGTTACTGGATTTTTATCTCCAAGAGTATTTATCTGTGCCAAAGACAAAAGAACACATATCAATCTAGGAAAACTGGCACTCCTGCAGATCTATTTCTATTTATAAAGGTATAAACTATCCAAAATTGAGACAGATTAATTTCAAAGCATTGTCCTTTTCCCTGAAGTTCTGAATCTGCACCAACCTTAAATTACTAAAATTTAGAATCAACCACTGTGTGCTCCAGATGTCTCAAAGCAGTAAATTACTATCATGCCTGTCTAACCATGAGCACCTATTAGTCTGGCTATATTTATCCCCTTATTAACAAACTATTTGAACTATGTCATTAAGCCTTTGAATTTAAAAGGAGATGTACCACCAAAACTTCAGCTCTGGATATGGGCAGAACAGACTTCAGGCTGCTCAAGGAACTAATAAGCTATCACAGACTAGAAATCCAAAAAATAAAGTTGCTTGCATGAGGCACTGGAAATTCTGATGGTCATGGCTGCAGATAATTTTGATAAACTTTCAGCTGCTTAGCATTATGCTAACAGGTAATACTGCAATTTAGTGATACCCAGAACAACGAGAAGAGGCTGTAAAGATGTTCATCCTTACAGAAAAGCTTAATACAATTCAAAGAGCTTTATATAATCTGAGTACATGAAGCTATAACCTTGGGTAGTAATCAAACACCTCGGAACCAAAGTTGTTCATCCTCTAATAAGAAAGCATTAGGACAACTGACAAGACAAATTTTACTTGTGGGAAACCCCACTTGTATGATGACTTTAAAACTATTTACCGTATTCTGCAGTTCTCGCCAACCTCCTAGGGCCTGAAAGTGCCTGAACTGCTCACCAAACAACTGACCACCGATCCTGCGTTCCAGGTACACAGTATGACCCTCATTCAGCCTGGAAAGACATTGATGAAGTCAGCACTGGTAGGATGATAAAATTAATTTAGTTAGTCTCTTTACAGATTAAATTTAAAATATGATTTGCATTGCACTGAACACTATACCCACCAAAAATGCTCCCATGTTTTGTTGGTTACCAAGTTTCCTGTCCAGCTATGAGAGATTTCATGTGCAATAACCTAAAACACAAAACCAGATCCACCACTTAGACTCCTCTGGGAAAAAAGTATCAGATCCCGACAAAAAGAACAAAATGCTGATGGAATCTCATTTGCTATCTTATGTTCACAGAGTCAGTTAGCATTCACAGTTCTGCAGATCTATCCATATGAATTTTAAGCAGAGGACCAATGCTAGCATAGCTAACAGAATTTTTCAACGTCTAGCCTAAAGCCATAGAGAGCCATACTGAGCAATGGCTTGGTGTAGGTAACTTGCTTATGAAATCACATTTCAGAATACAGAATACCAAGTCATGGACTAGTACTGCTTTCTCACCTAAGCAACTTCTGCAATGGGAAAGCTAATGATGCATGATATATTAAAAAGTACCCATGTCAAATATTTAAGTATTCTTCATTTAAGACAACCTTTTTTTTAAGTTTAGCAGTACATCACTCTAGTAGAAAGACATATGCAATACAATTGCATTCAGAGTATTTAATTTTGCAGAAAAAAAAGTATTTATTCTAATTGTATTCATTATTTCCACTTTGAAGAAATCTGTATATTATATGAGTTCTAGTGCACTGACACATAGAGGAAGAAGTTATCTCCTAATGATTTTGATGAGGCCAATTCAGTTGTGATTTCTAATCACATCTATACACAGATGTTGTTTAACAGGACAGGAAAAGAGTTCTGAAGCAGCTAACCTCAGTCAGCTCCCTGTGTATATAGGCATCCATGTTATTTCCATCTGTCCATTATACAAAATAGATACTTTACAGAGTTTACTTTAAATTAACACTTGCTTTTGTAAGAGTTCTTGGGTTACTACCTTAACTTTTAATTTCCCCAGTGAAAAAAGACCAAGTATTCAGGTATTTATTATAAAGGAATTCAGATACATCTTCAAGTTTTGTTCTACTTGAAGAGAGGAATCTATTTTTGACTTACATTTGATAGAGATCGATCACCTGCCTAAAAAGAAAAGGGAAAGCCAAGTTAGTTGTTAGGTTCAAGTCAGCCTCAAAACAGATCACTTCATGCAGTTTCTTCTATGATACCTAACTCCAAAGGAGGAAGGAACATTTACAGGTCTTTCTAGGAAGACTAATCCAATTTGTGCATTGCTATCCATCACCTGATTGACATGCAAGCCCTAAGGAAAAGCTAACTTTTATCACTGCTATACTTACCAGTAGCGTTGGAGTTACAAAAGTAAGACAAGGATTCTCCATACCACCATAAGGAAAAGAAGGTGGTAAGACTAACAAATCATACTGTCCCCAGACATAAGGTCCTGCCAAATCTTCTGCTGTTTTCAGCATAGCTTCAGCCTGAAACAAGAATTCACATTAATTTCTAAAATGATTTCTGACTATAAACACTGAACAAATAATAACCTATTGACCCCATATTTCATTCCCTTTCAGCTTGGCAAGTCTCACATGTAAAACAAGTATGGGACTGTATCAATATGTACTTTCAGTACTAAGTTTGTACTGCAATAGATTAGTAGCATTGGTGGGATGGGAGGTAGATAAAGGAGAACTAAAGATGACCAAAACAGAGAACTGTAGTCTGGTTTTTTTCCAATTCTATGTGAAATAGTTATCTTACAACACTGTTTTTGTTGTTGTTAATTACTCGCCTCAGAAAATTCATAGGCTGATTTATCCACTAGTTCCTTTTCAGCCCAGACCAGTGTCCTCGGGCCAATCTTTCTGTTGAAAGTAAAAATAAATACCAATAAGACAGTATGAACCTGAAGTAATTCTATGGGAAACTAATACAGACAGCGTATGTGTAACTGTAACCCACAGCTCTTGAGTAACCCACATTGCAGAGGGAACTCATTAGGGAATCTTTGTCTGCTTTTCCTCTCCATTGCTAAAGCAAAGCCTTAGAAAACAAAATAAACATGCATGCATTATTCAGCACAAAAGAACAGGAAAACCACTTACAGATTTTTAAATGCTATCAAGCCCTAATATAAAAGCATTACTGTGGCCTTTATTAACACAACCTTGTGCCAATGAGAAATAAAGCTGAAGCAATACTTTTCTGCCTTTTACAGAAAAGGCTTATTTGTTAACTAGAAAAGAAGATCTCTTCCCTGTGCTAAATTTTAACCACTAAGGGCTTTTTTAGGTCCAAACTCTTTATGCTGTTTCTCTAATTTACAGCACAAGTAAAAAAAAGTATTCAAGAGCAAATCAAGATATGTGCAGTTTTATACAAATTAACAGGTTAATTGAACTTCTAAGGCACTTTAAATTTAGAAATAAGACCAAGAACCAATTTTTAAAAAGCTCAAAAGATTTATTGTGGTTATTAATATTTATTATACATTGTACAGATTCACTCACCGACTTTCTAAAGCTCCAACTACTAAAGCAAACAAGTAGCAAGGTATGGGAACCTAGTGGAGAACATAGGAAAAATAAAGAAATCTTACTTGTAATGTCAGTTATCAGACTACTGACTCAGAGAAGAACAAAAGTATATAAATAAAGTTTTCCTCCAGAGTTTCCTGCCTTAAAGGCAGGCGCTGTTTTTTCAAAAACATTGTTCTTTCTTCCCAAATGATACTCCTTTATCTACAGGATGTACTTGCTTCAGATGTTTCAGGCAAAACCCGCAAAACTCTAAGTATCTGAAAAACTTACAGAACCCACTAAGTATTTTTCAAACTCTAAGTTTGAAAAAATCTGCATGCAAAATTCCTGCTGGTTTGGTTTCTCTTCAAAAGAAAGTCAGTTTTCCATATTCATTTCAGTTCCACTAAATTTTATGGAAGGAGAAGTTAAGAGATACTGCTCAAATAAAGGGCAGTTTTATCATGCAGAAAGATACAGGAAGAGCCTTAATGAAGCAAACAAGAATATTTATAGATATAAATACATTAAAGAAAAAAGATTCAGTAAAAATCAAAATGTGTATATTTGATTTCCATGTTTGGAATTAAAAAAACTCTAAATATTTGTTATTTCAATGAAAAAAACTCCTAACTGAAGTATCTTTATAGAGAACTGCTTTCTCCAAGTGCTCTAGAAAGAAAAGGTGATAATACAGCCATTCCTGTAAAAGTTCCACTTTGTCTGAATTTAAACAATGTTAAATAAGTAAGACTTAAAATTGTAATTAGTTGGAGACACAATTTCAGAAAATTTTATTCCACTGTTATCCACAAACCATTTAAATATTGTTTACTAAAATACACATATCATCATCTGTGTTTTAATTTTACCTATTAACCCACAGAACATATTATTGAAAAGAACAAAGTCCCTTATGTTATAGATGAGTTAAGAAAAAACACCTCCACATTTTGATGTCCAATTTGCTAATTTGACATTTTGAAATTCAAATGTCAATAACTGTTGGGTTGTAAACTCATTCTTACAGAGGTTGCTCTCCACTACCCTTTTTTCCATCCTGGCTATGCAGAAAAAGGAGTTTTAGGTAAGCCTCAGCACGCTTATATGTCCAAGAGCTTGATGCATTTGCCTTTTTCATCTGAGGAAAGACACCTAACAAATCAGTGTTGACATCAGGCGACATGCATGTCCTTTTCCATGTCTTTTTTCATTTGTGTATTTTCTGCTTAATGTGTTTTCTTTAAAGAAAAGCATGTCTTTTTTTAAAAAGTAATGGTTTTCTGTATCAGAAAGTGTAGTATAATTTCAATTACACGAAATGTTCTTTCTGGTACAGGTCCATCATGCTTTTCAACAGTGTATTCCTAGATAACATTCATCTCTGGATTACAGAGACAACATAGAAGTCTTCTAGACTGAGAGTAGCAAATGTTTTGGCTCCACAGAGAGGGCAGAGCACTGCTTACTGATGTGCTCGAGATAAGGGAACTGTTTTTTCCCCTCTCTCAGGTTTCACGCAGCAGCCAAATCAAACCCGACAGCTGCTGCTGTTCAGAGTACTCTAATGACCTCCTTTCCTCCAGTCACATCATACCACTCCTCCTTGCAGTTATTCAGTGTCAGCAGCCCAGATTTATGTTAATTTTATCTGTTTGTTCAGCAAAATGAACTGGGCTCACCAAAAGAGCTCATAAACACCAGAACTGTAATCCAAAAAACTGTGAGAACAAAAATGCCAGAAGAGTAAATCAGGACTGCTGCTTTATGAGCAGTGGAATCATTAGAATAGCTGCACCACTTAATAAAACTTCCAGAGAACAGTAATCTTAAATTGGCTGGAGATACTTTCCATAGATACCAAAGTTTTCCCATTAAAAAAAACAACCTAAAAATCTGTTGTCAGAAGTTGCCTAACTTCAAGCTAAAAATTGGTTCTGACGTTGAGTTCCACTGCTTAGATGAAAGCTCTTGGTGAGTTTAAAATTTGCAGGTTCTGTTTTCTAAAACTTCCTTCCATATTATTTGCATCTGCACTATTTTCCAAAAATCAGTGCAGACAAAAAGGGTTGTGACAGGACTAGTTTTGAGTATTGAAACATTTTCAAAACTTGAATTTGGCTTTTCTGGGAATGCCAAAAACAACCAGTAAGCACCAGCAGCACCAGCGTTCACTAGTTGTCTTCTCAGAGCTGGAGTTCCATAATGCCTCACATTTCTAGTGTGGCAAAGAGCTATGTGAGTCACATGATTTATCCATGATACCAAAACCACACCTGAGGTGATTGTGAGCTGCACAGGTGAGGAGTAAGCCGTGCAGCCATTTCCTAGCCCGGAGCACTTACGTTCTGGCTGAAGCGGTAAACCTTGTGGGTGCTGTCCTCTGGGTCGGGTGCCTCTCCATCGCGATTCGCGCTCATCAGAGCCACCAGCTCCTTTGGGACGGATATCTGAGAGGGCACACAGCCATAAGCAATGCAGCTGGCACTCAGCATTATACTCCATACTACAAGCAGCTGATAACAAAGACTAGCCCAGGTTTGTTCTGTTATTAGGTCATCTCTGTCAAGCAGAACATAAAGCATACAGAAAATGTTGTCTTGAAGACAGGAAATATTGAATTAATCAGTGGAGTACCTCCAACAGAAGTTAAAAGGCTCACTTTCTTCAGACAACTGAATTGTAATGTCACAGTGCACATTTCTCTTGCTTTTTGCTTCCTTAAAACTATTTACACCAGGACTGTAAATGTCCCCTAACTCTATACCAAAGTATATTACTTAAATCCTTTTCAAGTATTTTTTACTTTACAGCACTCTTTGCTGTCTTACTGTCAGCTTTTCCTTCATCTTTCCAGCATCTTTCTTACTACTGCATTTTTACTTCCTTTTGCAAATAGATACATAATAATGGAAAAAGAGTTGACATATACAAAAAGGAAATGGTAAAGTTAGAGAACTGCCACAGGGAAGATCACCTCTTTCCTCTCATATTGAGCTGAAAGTCAATACTGTGGTTTTATATTAGGCCACATGCTGGCAGCTACCAAAAAACCCTGACCAATATAAATTCAACCATTGTAGCATTTGTCTTCAGTTAAGACACATGACTTAGGTTCATCTACCTCTGCATAGTAGGTTAGTTTCACAGCAGGTGTGTCTTGGCATGGAAAAATGGCTCTGCAGTGGATAGCCTAGAGAGGGAGAAAGGAAAAGAAGATAAAACAAAACTGTCTTTCTAATGCAGAGGACTAGAAATAAATCAATTAATACACTATAGTGCAAGTCTAGACAGCTCCTCCAGAGAATTTGTTATCTGTAATCCTGTACTTCTATCACTTAGAGCCTACAGGCCTTTGTAAAAGAAATAATAGTAGGTAAGGCAGATCAATGGACAAAAGTATTGGTTGTAAAGGACCGTATGTTCTTCAACAAGGATACTGGAGTATCCAGAATTATCAAACTGTAAACATATAATAAAATCTCAACAACATCCTAACATTAAGTGTTTTCATTTAGGACCTTTGACACACAGCTAGAAGTTACAGGCTACTGCGCTTCCCCTTTCTAGCCTTTCTCTCCAGTTCTTTAGAAACCAAGGGAAATTACAGTGGTATGTCAACAAGTTTGGAAAAAATGAACTCAACCTGGCACTGGCTGAAGAGAAATGGGTGTTTCTTTCCAGAAGTTTGCTCTGGAGTAAACCATTGGAGAGCTGAAGACTGTGGAGAGCTTTCAAAAGAGATTTCAACAATTGCTTCTTGTCCCCTGTACAATAAAGAACACAGTCAGACTGTTTTGTCACAAATCCTGATCACATTGAAATTCCTCTGCAAAGATGTCTGAAAAACAGGTCTGCAGAACTGTCTCAAAAGCATTAAAAATCAGAACAAGTATCATATTAAAAGCAACAATTCCCTTTCAATTAGGGTATTAAAAAATGGTTAGCTAATTTCATTTTTACATCCCAAGGTACTTTTATTATTGTTTTTACTAACCAGAAACTTTTCTCTCTTCAAGGAAAGCACAGGCTATTTGGGCCAGCTACATGTATATAGTTTTGTCACAGCTAAGTTACCTTGTACATGTAAGTGTAAAAAACCCTCTGCAATACACAAACAAAAAAAAACCCCTACATGAGTGCAAAACCCTACATAAGATACACGGCCGACTAACATAGAATAAGTATTCTGTACATTAAAAATTTAGACTTTCTGTCTGATGTTAATGTTCTGTAAGTATTATCCTTAAGAAGACAAAAACACCCTGAAAATTATCAGTAATTGTAGAACTAACTCCTATTAACAGTAGGAGTTAACAAGAAAAATAAATAATGTTCAGATTTTATTCAGGGTTTCAGAACTGGTGTCATGCAAAAACTGACAGTTACATGTAAGAGGGGAATCAGTTTGCTAATGAGGGAACACACACCAACCTGCCACATTCATACTCTTTTTTATTAAAAACGTATCTTAACCATCACTGACACCCAAAGTACATGGAAGTACTTGCTTCTGTTCTCAGAAAGTTCCAGATTATACATGCAACTCTTGGAATAAACAATCGAGCCATAAATCAGAACAAGCTTCAGCTAATCAGAGGAACTGGGACACTAGATAAGCTGACCAGGTGTACACATCTGGTTTATAACCAGTATTCCAAAGTACATATTAGACAAAAAAAAAGAAAATAACTGGTATTACCATAAGGCACATTGCTTTCTCAATGATCAGACTTCCAGTTGTAACTCCCACCCTTTCCTATCGCTGTGTCATTGATAGTTATATAGGGGACTACGTCTCACACTAGATTATGAATTCTTATGGTCACAAGTCATACCTCCTCTTTTTTTTCTTACCAGGAAATTTAGAACTTAAAAAAAAAAAAAAAAAAAGGGGCAGCTGAAAGTAAAATAAAAGAAATGGGCCTATATTTCTGATGTGGCATGTTTGCTCAAGTACTTAATTTGTTCAATTTCTTAAGAGACCAGAAGTGTTTCTCCAGAAAGGACAACTGTTTTATGACATTCCTTTCTCTTCCTCATTATTTGTGTTTCTTAACTGCACTAATTCAGAGTACAGCATTAAAAAGAAAAAAAGCTTAAAAACCAGACTAAACTGGAAGAGTTTTTAGAGGTAGCAATGAGTTCTAAAAACCAAACAATTAGAAGTAACTTAATATTCGATTTTATTCAAACAAGGGAACTTCCTTATACAATCACAGCTTTCAGCTTTGGCACCATGGAGGATTGAGATACCCCTGAGTTACAAAATACAAAGCAAAATGCCAAAAAACATACTGTAATTTGGCAACAGCTTTTTAATTCATGCACATTAAGAGGTAGACCATGGTTAGTTCACTCTCCATCATGCTGTCAACATGAATTACCAAAGTCAACAAAATAAAACTTTGATTATTTGAAAACATGCTCTTATCTAATCATAGTGGTAACCTGAAGTTCTACAGAAATGCAGAACCAGCCCTTGTATAAAAGAGATCCAACAGGGGCTGTAGCTTCACATGCTCTACACTGTAACAATTCTAAACCAGGTAGTTAAAGCAGAAACAATATTACTGATGAGAAGCACTGGAAAAATTGTGATATATTTCACATCATTATGCTACTCAGTTTAGTAATTTTGTACCTGATACAAGGTCTGGGGACAGATACAGATACAAACACTCTCAAAGTTTTGACTAATGAAAGCCAAATATGACATTAATCTACAAGATCATATGAAACAATTGCAATACCCTGATTCTAATTTACAAGTCCCTTTGCAAGCTTTACTCAACAACCCTACAGGCAGACAAGCAGCTTATACAGTGCATTTTGAAAACCACCTAAAGGTGTAGGGAAAAGTGTGTACCTTCTTAGTTCATTTGGAAATGTGATTTCTAGAGGGGTTCCCTTGAAACTGTGCTTCTCTCCAAAAGCAAATCGTGCATCCTGTCCATTTACAGTCACTTTAAATACCTGTACGTCTTTTGTATCCAGGACCTGTGATAAAAAACATATTGCATGCCAGTTAACATGCCAGTTAAATATTGTAAAATAATAAATGCAGCACTCTGAAATCTTAAACGAAAGTCCCTCTGAAGGAAAAAGTATTTTCTAAATAAAACCAGGAAAACTGACTCTGTTGACCACCGGGAACCAGTATTTTAAGAGAGCAGCGCTGAACTTGAAAAGCTGGAGGGGATAGAGGAAGAAAACCAACTTCTAACCATAGAAGTGAATTAAGAAAAACAAAGGTTGTCGAGGTGTTACTCGACAGTACTGCTATGAAGTGAGGAGAACGGTATAAAAACCCCTGCTAAGGCTTCTGTTGGAGCACACCACAGCAAATCCCGACCTTCATGCAATGGAAGGTGAATTAAATAGTACAGTATACTCATTTTTAGCAGGAACGAGGCGTTACTCTTTATTACTAATAGGATTGGGCTTTTCCCCTTAAAAAAATAAGTGCCAACCACAAAAGAATTTTATGGAGTTAGCATGAGAAAAGCCCAGAACCCCCGAACTTCGAATATAATGCTAAATTTAAGAGGTATTCACATGCTTATTTTTAGAGATAACAGAGAAAGCAACACACAGGCGAAAAAGCCCTAAATCTAGATTTCCAGTGATTTATTCCGATCTTTTCGGCAGCAAGGGAAGACACAGTCTTGCCCTTCCCTTGCGCACCGCGCCGGCTCTGGCGGGCTGAGCGGGAACGGAGGGCTGCGAGGCGGTGTCAGGCTCCAGCCGAGCAGCGGGCAGGGGCGGCGGGTCCGGGAAGGAAGGAAGGAAGGAAGGAAGGAAGGAAGGAGGGAGGGAGGGAAGGAAGAAAGGAAGGAAGGAGGGAGGGAAGGACGGGCGCGGGAAGGCGGCAGGGCGCGGGCTCCGGGCTCGCCCCTCGCGGTCCGCGGGGTCCCCTCGCGCCCCCGCCCTCACCGCCCCCCCGCCCCCGTTACCAGGCGGCGCAGCGCCTCGCGCTCCGCGCGCGCGGTGAGGGCGGCCGTGCCCCGCAGCACGCGCGCCGCGAAGTCCGCGCGGCAGCGCAGGTGGAGGTGCCGCGTGAGGCAGCACGCGGGAGACGCGAACGAGCTGGGGTCCGCCATCGCTCGCGCGCCGTCTACCCGCCCTGCCCGGCCGTGCCACCCTGCGCGGCACGGAGCCCGCCGCGGAGAGGGGAGGGGAGGCCCCTGGGAGGTGTAGTGCCGCCCTCCGCGCGGAGAGGGCGGGGGAACGCCGTGAGAACTACAGAACCCATGGTGCATTGCGAGAGAAGGGGGTGGTAAACCGAGAAGCAGGGGTGGCTGGAATCGGCCCTCACGAGGGTGCGAGAGACTAAACAGAATATGAGCCCTACTGGAAGATATACGCATGTACAGTTCCTCGTTAGTATAGTGGTAAGTATCCCCGCCTGTCACGCGGGAGACCGGGGTTCGATTCCCCGACGGGGAGGTACATATATTTTTCCCTAGCTGCTTCTACCGTAAGGGCAAAATCAGTTTTTTGGGAAATCAAAGCTTTTCCCAGACAGTCGTAGTAAAACGATTCCGACTGTAAAGCAGAAAGAGAAGCTACTCGGGTCTGGCTGCCTGCCTGCTCCAGGGCTGAGGTAGTGGCGGAGTCTCACAAGATCAGCTGCAAAACTGAGAGCAGGCGCAAAGGAAAGCATTTTCATATTTTAATGGCTCAAACAGCTGAACAAAAGGGTTAAACCTCGGAAACATTCACCCGTTTTCTTAAACTGGGATGGAAATAACCTAACCCTGCCTCACTTGAGTCAGAAACAATGGGAACGGGGACAGGTCAAACAGGCACAGAAGAGGGAAGGTGGAAGGCCAGAGGCCGTATCCTGGCTTGCAGTAACACAGCCTGGCATTTTTGTCCTCAAAACGAGAGCTTCAGTGATCAGAAAGCCCTGAGGCTTCACTGGATACTGCCCAGAGCGTACTTAGCTATGTGCACCAGCTAAGAGTAGTTTGCAGAACAGCTGTGAGACTCCAGCATCCCTGCTTACCTTTAGTTAGTATGACTGCAAATGCTTTATAAGGCACCCCGTCTTTTTTAATCCTTTTGCCAGAAACTTATTTACCTATTTATTTATTTATTAAACAGTTCAGCACAAAGGTACTAGGAGAGATCTCCTCCTGTCTGTGGAAGGTCAGCAGATGCTGAGCAGTAAATATGATCACCCAAATTTCTATTTTTCCAAGTCAAGAAATAGCTCCATGGCCAATTGAACATAAAAGAAGTAAGGAACTAAGACCCAAGGCAAAAGGCCAAGACACCCAGCTGTGAGGATGCATGTGCCTGGTGTTCAGAGCAGGAGGCTGGTGAGCCTTGCTCTGGCCCTGGCTTTGTGTACTCTGGCAGTTCCAGTAAAGCTAATTTTATGCCCTGAACTGAAAGTAGATCTGTACCATGAGCAACCTTGCATCAGCCACCCAGCCAGCAGCAAGCACTCAAGTGAGGATATGCACAAGAGAAATTTTCTCTGTGTAATAAGAGCTAAGAAGCAACTTGACAGAAAAGTTTGGCAACAAAGGGCAATTCCTCTTAACACAGCATTGCTGGAAACCATGGACATGTAATGCCAAATCCAGAATCTAACCCCTGTCAGCCTCAGAAATTGGTTTCTGAAGCAGCACACCTTCAGTCCAAGTGCGGACAGCCATGGGAACGGCACACCAAGAGCTGTGGGGAGCTGAGAGCTGTGGGGAGCTGAGACCACAGGAGGAATGCTAGGCTTGATGTACTGTGCAAGGCCAAGAGATGGTTTCTGTGTGCTCATCAGCTGATGGCAAAGCCCATGGGCCTCTCAAGAGCATCCCACCACCCCAGCTGTCCCATCTGGATGTGAATCTGAGATGGCAGTGTGAGAAGTACATGAAGAAGAGGGGATGTGAGCACCATCCACAGTGATAGCCTGGAGCTTTGTATAAACTCCTGGACTGCTGCCACATGCTCAAACAAACTAAGGCAGGACTAGGAAGGAGTTTTAGTAGGTCTGTATTATAGAAGGGAGAAAAAAATAACCATAACATTTCCCCTTTCGTGATTTCTGAGTTTCCTGCCATACTCACTTCTCTTTCTCAAAATCCACATATATATGTCATCAGAAAATCAAGGGAACTTATTTTGCTTAGTAGACAGTTTATTTCAAAACAGAGGTCAGACCATAGTTGTTCATGAGTGTTGGCATCCAGTCAGGCAATTTCAGCTGTCATAAAACAATAAGGGATAAGAAAAGCAATTAATTCAAAACAGAACTCTGCTGACAGTGTTTTTAGTCATAAAAAAGAGTCTTGTAAGCAATTTCATACCTGCTTAGTTGTGGTTCTTGTTTTCAGATTTAGGTTTCACGGTGCTCAAGCCACTACCCAAGAGGCAAAGTTTTGCTGTAAATATACAGCTTCCAAGGTCCCAGAAAGGCATTCTCATTGGTGCATGGACAAAGGTGAAAGGAAGAGGAACAAGGAGCTCAGGGCACTGAGCAGGGTTTTACAAGGTCAGCCTCTCTCCACCTGCAGGATACTTTGTTCTCACCTAAGTCATCCAGGTCAGCTCAACCTCTTTCCCTTCTCCTGTGCTATCAAACCCTTTCCACCCCACAGTGCTGTTGTTCCCCAGCTGGCAGTATGGAGCCAGGACAGCTGGAATGCCAGCAAGCCCAGACACAGCTCCCCACAAATTTCAGACCTTCCTGAAATTGCTAGTGCAGTTCAGGATGGCTTCCTCATGGGCAGTGTCCACAGGAGGCACAAGGTGAGGGTTCCCTTGGCTGGAAGACTTCCACATTTGCAGAAGTGCAATTTGAATAAGCACTAATGAAATCTGGGGAAGCAAACAATTCAGTATTAATAGTAGAATTCTTTCTCAAATGCCTCTTTAATTATCCACACACAGCTTTAACCTTTTTCTCTTTTGATGCTTCTATTCCTTCCACTTAGCTTGCCATCATGATTTATTACCCTCAGTTTATCAAAAGCTCATGGACAGCCAGTATTATGGCTGGTCTGTGGCCAAACCAGCAAGACAAGGACAACGTGGAGAGCAAATGACCAGTTTCAATCTTGCTGAACTCATAGGCTGGTAGCAAAGCAACACTGTGGGGAGGTGTGGGCTGGAACGTCAGTATAAGCATGTTAATGGCATCTTGCTAAAGCATCTGTTTTAAGTGTGCTCAGACCCTGGGGACTGTGTAATTTCAAGTATTTTGTCCTCTGAGGGTTGTATTCATAGGTGTATTTAACTAAGTCCATTTTATGTACCCTTAGCCATGCTGAATGTTTCAATTAACCTTTTTCAAGGTGATTTTTGAAAAGTAAAATATTGCTTGCAAATGTTAAAAGACCACTTTATGTCATTAGCAATGATGAAACACAAGCTTACGAGAACTGAGTATCTTGGAAGTTTTATATTGGTGATTACTCTAAGGACAAGGAAAAGAAGCTAGGACCCCTTCTCAAACTTAATAGCTTTTGTTAATTGCATATCAGTTGGAAATAACTAATCAGTAAGTAGGGAGATGAGGAAGAACATATTAGAAAATGTCTGTATAAATACTCATCAAGGGGTAATAGCCGGAATAGACAATGACGAATTGTTCACAAGCTTTCTTGCAGGTCAGGACATCCAATGTAAACATGTCGAACTGGCCACTTAGGAGGATACAAGCCCTTTACTCCACCTTGGTTCTTCTACAGGGACTCCCGGTGATAAACCTTTTGGCTGCTAGGAGAAGAGGGGTATTTTGGCCTGTCAGAAGGTGCTGAAACACTTTGTAATGGTAGCTGCTGTTTGCTTCTGATCCCTGCACAGGGTGAACCTCGGGATCATATAAATAAAATAAGCAATGTAAAAGAATTTAATCTTCATTGGAGAAGTTTCAGCTTGTCATCATTAGTATCCACAAACTTTTGGCCCCAAGAACCCCAATTTGTTCTGCAGTCTTCTCTGTCCACTGAGGAGTCTAGCTGCCAGCGGCCCTGGCCAGCTCTGTGATGGCACCGTCCTTGGATCAGCTCCTAGGAAAAGAGCCGTGTGAGGACAACAGCTGGGCCATGGCTGTCCCCAGTCTCTGCTGCCGTCCCTGCCTCCTTCACCATATGCAGGTGCTGTGGTCTGTGCCCTTGCTGGTGGCAGCCTGGCCCCAGTGCCCCCAAGGAGCAGCCCACCCCTGTAGCTCCCTGGCACACAGCAGCATGTGGGCCTGTGAGCACAGAATGCAACCAAGGAGCTGGCAGTTGAGTCCTCTCATTGAGAATTTCCAACATCTTCACACAGGTCTGGGCATTCAGGTGCTGCATGTTCCTGCAGCTCCACTTGGGTCACAGGAACAACAGTAATATAAACTAGGTGGGATGCTGACCTACCTTTCAATTAAAATATACCCAGGCCACCACCAGGCATTCAACCCTAATGCATTGTGGTTTTATAGCTCCTCCAGACTACCCTGGCATTTTTCCATATTCACTTATAAGAAAGGTAAATTAGATGTCCACTTTTTCTCCAGTAGCTCTTAACATCTTGAGCACTTAACACTTGAGCATAATGATGTACAAGGTGCTGTTCCATTTTGTACATGAATGTACATGAATGACCATTAATTAATCCAGTTTCCTGGGACATATAAATGGAAAAATTTTTAAGCAATATCTTACTAGTAGTTTATTCTCCATTTATTTATTTTTTTTAACTGCTTGAGAATGTCCATTCTATTTATTTTTTTTCCTGAGCAACACAGTTCCTCAGTGCTGTCTTTGTAGAAGTTAACAAACACTTCATATAATTCTATCTCTACCTGTCAGATGGTCTGTTAAATATAATTTCCATGTTGCTAGACATGCACAAAGATTATGCCACCAGAAAAATTAGCCTCTGCTTTTAGGCTATGTTTTTTAAGATATGTTTAAGCTACTAGAGAGAACTGATGGTCAGATTTACTCATATTATTTCAAAAGGAAAGCATCCAAAAATTGCAATACTCATTTGATAACATTAACCTACAACTTTGGAATACACTATTAAGTAACTAACTTTAAAATTGTTAATTGAACTGACTATGTTTATATTTCTACACAATTATGGTACAATTCCTTTTTACCACTTTAGGGTGTGCAGTGTATTTTCTTCTTCAGAGGATGTTATTTAACTGTGCATGGAGATCTGGCAGCCTCAGGATGTC